GTCTCTGCTTGTCTGTCCCACAGTCCTTCCATATGTTCTAGAAATTTGCCATATATTTGGCTCACGCTGCTACCTATCACAGCCGTCACGGCAGCATCCCTAGAATCCTCCTTCGGCGCGTACAAAACGCTCCGGGCGAGGTTCATGAGAGGCTTCTAGGGTAGTCGGCCGTCATACGCGATGCAACAGAGTTGCGGGCCCTGAACATGGTGTTGCACCCATCGCTAGCGAAGCCGATGACGATGGCCCTCGCGGCATCTGGGCGTCGTCAAGGGAGGACTGCACCGCCCCAATCAGTCTCTGCCCGGTGGCACCCTCGGCAGCGGTGTCGGCGTCGTTGGCAGAGAAAACTAGTACCAACCGCTAAAATTTTGTCACAAGTCTTCTCTGCGTTGTCGGTTCACCGGCTTCATTCAGGATTTCAATTGAGTCAACAAACCTCACATTTATGCACAAATATTTTTACAGTGCCTATGTCCGTTGACTCATCAATTATCACACTAAATTTTTGGTCCTCAGCGGAGGCCGTTTTTGTCAAAAACATGTATTTTGATGTTTTTCGCCGTCTGTGCAGTGTTTATTGCCGCTTGACGTTCCACTCAATCTATCTCTAAAGGCCCATTCTGAAATATTATTTTGCATCGAATCAACTCCGGAAGTAACCGGAGGGGAATCGAAAATGGTCCAGATCGCGCCAGAATTCTGGTGCGTTGTAGGGCCTTTCCATGGAGGCCCTGCGCCTGGGCACTGGGAAGTGGCCCTTGACTACGGCGTACTCGGCCACCCCTCGTAAAACGAAAAAATAAAACTTGTATGGGTTTTATAGTTTTTAGTAAATTTTGTTAATTTTAAAAATTGAATTAAATTTGACTGAATTTAAGTAATTTAATTATTTTCATTGCAAAATTAAATTTGTAATTTTGTAAGCTGCTTTGATTAAATGGAGGGATTCCATAAATTTTAAACCGGAGGGGAATCGAAAATGGTCCAGATCGCGCCAGAATTCTGGTGCGTTGTAGGGCCTTTCCATGGAGGCCCTGCGCCTGGGCACTGGGAAGTGGCCCTTGACTACGGCGTACTCGGCCACCCCTCGTAAAACGAACAAATTAAAACTTGTATAGTTTTTATTAGTTTTTTAGTAAATTTTTTTAAATTTTAAAAATTGAATTAAATTTGACTGAACTTAAGTATTTTAATTATTTCATTTGAAAAATTAAATTTGTTAATTTTTGTAAGCTGCTTTGATTAAATCTTAAATTAAATTGAATAATGCAGCTTACAAGATTCAAATTTTAGTTTTGCAAATAAAAATTTAATTAAAAATACTTAAGTTTAGTCAAATTTAATTCAATTTTTAAAATTTAACAAAATTTACTAAAAAACTAATAAAAACTATACAAGTTTTAATTTGTTCGTTTTACGAGGGACCATGAACGTGTGCAGGAGCGAGGCGAGCTGTGTGAGCTCGCGCACCTCCTCCTGCACGAGGGCCACGTAAGGCAGCGCGAGCACGCCGTCCTTCCCCTCCAGCATCATGGTGCGCAGGAGGAGAGTCGCCACCAGTGTCTTTCCTCCGCTGGTCGGCCTCAAGACCAGCACGTTCTTCCGGGTGTTTTCCTCGCTGATGTGTCTACCGAGAGCGGCGTGCTGCCATGGGTGGAGCGCCCGGATGCCGAAGGCCTTACACGGCATCCTTGACGGCCCCGCCCATGCCGTAGAAGTGGTCTTCTCCTGGGATGTCTGCGCATCAGACTTTTTGCACTCAATTCGGGGCGAAAAGTCGTCGAGCAATTTAGAAATTAGGTCTTTTTCACTTTGCAGAAAATTGGGCGACCGTTTTCTTGTCATGATAATTTTAAATTGTAAAATAGAATCACTGCACACCCAAACGATGAACAAGTGCCAGGTGTTCCTCGCGCCAGAATGAAATCACGGCCAGCACACTAAATTCTTCTGGACTTTCATGAAGCATTCATCAAACTCCAAAAAGCTGATGAATGTCACCTGCACACACAAGACGACACGTCACACACGCACACACACACACACTTACCTTGACGCGTAGTGAGAGTAAGAAGTCCAGAAACCTCTCCTGCCGATGGGGATGGACGAATGGCAGCTCTAATCGCTGCACCTCGTTTAGCACTTTTAGCAGCCGCAGCTGCGACCGCTCGATCGGCGATCACAGAGCCACGGAGCTGCGCCATCTAAACCGTGAGAGCTCGCGCGCCCTCTCCGTAAACGCCGGACAGACCGCCGCCAGGCACAGCATGTCCGACTCGTTTAGATATAGCGACAAGTAACCCATCACTTCGATTATCACCCGCATGGGCGAGACGTCTTCGCTGGAGATAAAGTGCTCGGCCACGCCAGTTTCGGCGAAATGCACCATTGGATCCGCCATTTTGTTGCCCTCTGAATCAGTCAACACGGCCGCATAGGCAACTGGTACGTGCCGGTGAGTGCGACGGGTGGCCGGGCGCGAGGCGCCGCCAGCCTGCCTGCCCCGCCCTGTCCGGAATCGAGGCCTCAGAACGCCCCTGCAAAACATACTTTTCCGCCGCGCGGTTACGACACCGGAGTACGGCCACCACGCCTGGGTTCTGAACAACAATCCAACGACGTCGGTGTGGCAAAATGAGGTTAGTCGCGTTGGACGTGACGATATGACACAGGCCCGCCGTGCAGTTTTGGGAAGTACCCATCCGGCAGACTCCGGAGATAATCAAGTTGCCACTTGCGGTGGTGCCCGAGATCAAGCGTGAAGAGCCATTCGTGGTGATAGGCGAGGAGGGGAAGAAGGTAGAACCGCAGCGCCGTCGCTCGCATGATCGACGTACGGAGCTGGTCACCGAAACTTTCTGCCGGCGTGACGTCTCCGTACAGACAGGCCTCTAAGGTGTAGTGCCTCGTCAACTCATATTCCAGCGGGACGATGGTTCTCCGCTGGTAGCAACGCTGGCAGCGTGATTGACGCATCCCCCTGAAGCATTCATCAAACTCCAAAAAGCTGATGAATGTCACCTGCACACACAAGACGACACGCACACACTTACCTTGACGCGTAGTGAGAGTAAGAAGTCCAGAAACCTCTCCTGCCGATGGGGATGGACGAATGGCAGCTCTAATCGCTGCACCTCGTTTTGCACTTTTAGCAGCCGCAGCTGCGACCGCTCGATCGGCGATCTCAGAGCCACGGAGCTCCGCCATCTAAACCGTGAGAGCTCGCGCGCCCTCTCCGTAAACGCCGGACAGACCGCCGCCAGGCACAGCATGTCCGACTCGTTTAGATATAGCGACAAGTAACCCATCACTTCGATTATCACCCGCATGGGCGAGACGTCTTCGCTGGCTCCGTCCATGATGAGGATGGTCAAGAAAGTGATCGATAATTGCCCACGACCTGTCCACATCACCTCGCATTTTCGCGTGGAGGGGGGGAAGGGCGCGGGGGGCTCGAACCCTCACGCTGTCGAGGGGCTAGGCATTCCTAGCAAGGCCTGCCAATCTGCCTCGTGCCTCCGCGCGAAACCTTCCTGGGGGGAGGGGGAGGGCGCGCGGAGGACCCGCACCCCCGCAACGCACGGGGGCAGTCGCGGGGGGGGGGGGGGGGGAGGCAACTGCATCGGCCAGCCAATCAGCGCGGGGCCCGTTTCTGGCAGCCTCACCGCTAGCCTGGTCCGGGTAATTCTTTCCCAAGTCACCCGAGGTCCCGAAATCGATGTCTCCGATTTCGACGAAACTTTGTGGGTGTGTTCCCTATGTAGCAAAGAGCTCCAGAAAAAATTTTCAACTTTTTTGGTCGGCCCAAAAAATTTTAATCACGTATTTTGTAAAAAAACACTGAAACCTGCACTAAAAATTTGTTTGTTGCCTGAGGGCGACCTGCCCGGTGGTTTTTTTTGCACTCAATTCGGGGCGAAAAGTCGTCGAGCAATTTAGAAATTAGGTCTTTTTCACTTTGCAGAAAATTGGGCGACCGTTTTCTTGTCATGATAATAATTTTAAATTGTAAAATAGAATCACTGCACACCCAAACGATGAACAAGTGCCAGGTGTTCCTCGCGCCAGAATGAAATCACGGCCAGCACACTAAATTCTTCTGGACTTTTTTATGCATAGTTATGCATGCGCAGACCCACAAGATATGTATAAT